GATTAGGCTTTAGGAGGCATGGCCAGTTTGGGGTGAGCAGGTGTCAATCTCAAGTGTGAAAGCAACACTACAAGACACAGAAAGGAATGAGAATTAAGGTTGTATAGAAGTAAGTTTGGGGAGACAATATATTCCCATTCTTTACCTCAGACACAGATAACTGTCAAAACACTTTGTAGGCTGAAAGGTTGTTTTTGGACATAAATGTGAACTCAGTGAATGAAGAGCATTTAGAAATTGAAATGCCATGTGTTCCCAACTTCCTCCTTGGGTGTGTGAAGAGACTGAAAATTCTGGGGCCACCAAATAGAGGGATCTTGGATGGACTCTAATTCTAAAAGAGCTGTGACCCTTTCAAGAGAAGTGATTCAGACTTCTGAGATTCTCCAGGTAGGACTTCAGTTGAAGAGCTTTAGAGATAGATTTCAATACCCAGGGCAGGTGTCATGTCACCTTGCTTATTCATGCTTGCTGTGTTTGTACCTTACAGCTATACATAAGGCATAATAGTTTCTTATTTACTGAGTAGACTTTCGTGGGAAAGAAGTTTCTTGTTTAGATGGAATGCAGGGTATTACTTGGCTTATTGCTTTTGGCTTTATTTCTAGACAAGTTAAGAAGCATAATCTCTGAGTAATTTCTTCACTTTTAATCAATGTAATCTTTTAGTGTTTTTTTTTAAAGATTTGTTTACTTTTCTTTGAAAGTCTTATTTACAGAGAGAAGGAAAGACAGAGAGAAAAGATCTTTCACCCACTGACTCACTCTCCAAGTGGCTGCAATGGCTGGAGCTGAGCCAATCTGAAGCCAGGAGCCAGGAGCCTCTTCTGAGTCTTCTGAGTGGGTGAGGGCCCCAAGGCTTTGGGCCTTGGGAACTTGCTGGCTATTAGGTCTGCGTCTGGAACTATTTGTGGTTGAACCCGTAGAATGCCGAATTAGTATGGTTTTCCTTGTGGGACCAGCATAATACACTGAGCCAGAAATCAGTTCTCTCCTGGCTTATCACATGTGCAGCTCACTGTTGTTTTTCCAGCCCCACAGCCTTTGCCACACTATACCAACACCACTGACAACGCTGTGATTTAGGACAGCTGATGTCTCTCTATTCCCAGGGACTGCTCAATCCAGGAGAGGGAGAAAGGCTATGCAGGTAATGGTGTTGCACAACATGGGATCACAGAGGGGTGGAGAGTGGTGTGCCAGGAGATGGGTCTACAGAGATCATGGTGGAAGTCTAGAAACAAACAAACAAACAAACAACAACAAAGCTAAACTAAAAACCTAGCTATGAAAAAAGGATGGTGGGAGCGGAGGAACTGAAGCTTGCTGCAGGCAATGCCACAAGTTTCTGCAAATGAAGAACCAGGCACCGAACTCAGTAAATAAAACCCACTTGTAGACTGGCCAACATGCCTTAGAAACCTGTGCTAAGAAGAGGAATTTGCTAAGCAGAATTGCAATGACCATGAGCAAAAGAAGAGACAGATGCACACGAATATTACTGATGACTCCCCAGCAAGGGAGCGAAAGCACTTTCCAATCTCAGAGTTGCCTGTGGAATACATTGAGAAAATGGGGCATACATAATTCAGAAAACTCATTATAAAGCTTCTTATCAACAATGTGAAGCACATGCAGAATTTCAAGGAATTTAAGGAGTATGTCACCCAGGAAATAGCAACACTGAAACAAAACCAAGGCAAATTATTAGAAATGAAGGACACAATAGAGCAAATTAAAATTTCACTGGAAAACCTCAATGATAGAATGAATGGTGCAGAAAAAAGAATCTCAGGACGGTATGCTGGACTGTCGATCAGTGGAATCTCCAAAAACCGCATCGTGCTTGGAGTGGTGAGAGTGGCAGCAATTCAGAACTGCTGAACTATCAAAACCACTTGAGCAAGACCCTCGGAACATGCCCCACATCTGGGACCTGGGGTGGGTGGGCGACTGGGTGGGGCTTCTCCCTTAAAATTTCTTTTTACATCAGATATATTAAGGAAACAATACGGAACTAATTGTCTTACCCGTCTTCCTGTAGTGCTTGAACCTTTTTACCCTAATTATGTCAAGATTGTAAAAAAAAAAAAAGAGAATCTCAGGATTGGAAGACATTTCCTGCAAAAATGGGGAAACAATACAAAAGCTGGGAGAAGACTGAGTCAAGAGAACTGAGTCAAGCTTAAAAAAAGTATTAAAAAAATTTTTAAAAGTATTAAAACTATTAAAAGGCCTAACATAAAAACCATGGGAGTTCTAGAAGGTACAGAAAAAGAAGCTGGGTTTACTTATTTTTTCACAATCTTTACATAGGTGATTAGGGCACAAAGGGTCAAAGGATAAAGGAATTTGGGTAGAAACTGGGTTTAAAGCTTTATTCAATGAAATAATAAGTTAAAACTTCCCTAATATGGAGAAAGAACTGGGAACAAAATACAGGAGAGGCACAGAACTACTAAAACTTATCTTTGCAATGACACATAAGAAAAAGATACTTCAATATACATTTGAAAAAATTAATTAACATGTAGAAGAACCCCAATCAGATGCACAGTTTATCTCTCACAGGAAACTTTACACATCAGAAGAGAATGGAGTGACATATTCCAGATTCTAAAGAGAAAAAAAATTGTCAGCCCAGAATAATGTACTCAGCAAAACTTTCCTTTGTCTTTGAAAATAAAATATAATTCTAACACAGTAAAGAAAAGCTCAAGGAATTCACTTCTTCTAGATCTGCCCTACAAATGATACTTAAAGCTATTCTCTTGACAGAGAAAAGGAATAGCACCTACCAAAACCAAAGGCAAAAATGGAGAGAAACTCAATAAAATGACAACAGAAGACTAAATCAAACAATGAACAACTGATTGTTAAGGTGATAGGATAAAATTACTACCTATCAATACAACCCTGAATGTAAATGGCTTAAATGCATCAATCAAATGTCGCTGAGCAGTGGACTGGATCAAAAAATGAAACCTACCTATCTGTTCCCTACAGGAAACACATCTCACCAACAAAGATCAGCGGAAATTGAACATGAAGGGATGGAAAAAGATATTTCAGGCGATTGGAAAGGAAAAAAGAGTGTAGTCATTCTTACATTAGATAATATAGACTTTGATGTGAAAAACATTACAACAGATGAAGGGTACTACATAATGTGAAAGTACCCATTCTGCAAGAAGATATCACCATAATAAATGTATACTTGCCAAATACCAGGACACCTAGATATGTGAAACAAATATTAAAATATTAAAGGGAAAATTAGATTCAAATAAAAAATAGTGGGGGAACTTAACATCCATTAATATCAATGGACAAAGATCAATGGGACAGAAACTCGGCAAGGAAACAACACAGCTCCCCCAGACATTAGAGCAAACAGACTTAACTGATATCTATAGAACCTTTCGTTCTACAGAGAGTACATTTTTTCTTTATCAGTACATGGAACTTTCTCTAGGATTGATCATATCATAGGCCATGAAACAAGAAGTCTCAGCAAAAAAAAAACAAAAACAAAAAAAAACAAAAAACCTATACCATGCATCTTCTCAAATCATCATGGAGTGAAACTGGAGACCATCAAGTCAAAAGACCCCAGAAGACATGCAAATACCTGGAGACTGAATAATATACTGTTAAATTAACAATGGATTGTAGAATAAATCAAAATGGAAATAAAAAAATTGCTTGAAATTGTCTCCGACCAGCAGTGACACTACCTATGAGGCACACTCTTGAAAGTCTGGGAAAGGCTGTAACTGCAACCAGACCCCTTGTAGCCAAAAGTGGCTGCTTTTATACTCTTACTCCGCTGCTTTTTTCCCTGTTGGACTTAACTTTTCTTCCTGATTCTCTAGCTCTCTCTCTGCTGTTTTTCTCCCTGTTCTTCTCCTTATAGGCTTTATTGCTTTTGCACCCCTCTCTGCTGCTTTTCTCCCTGTTCTTGTCCCCGTAGGTCTATATTGCTTTTGACCCCTCTCTGCTTTTTCTCCCCACATGCCTTAGCTTTTCTCTGCTGCTTTTCTAGCCCTCTCTCTGCTGCCCCATTCTTCTTGTTCCAGCCATCGTTCTCCTCTCCATCTTTCCCCTCCTTATCCATCTTATAGCTTTTAGTGGCTGCTTTTATACAGCTCTCCACCAATCACTTCTCCTCAGGGGTCCACTTGGCACTACCTGATAGGCAAGTAGCAATGACATAATAGCAGCGAGGGCATCAGCCGATCCCTGTGACTTCCTGTTTACCTGCTGGCGAGACCAATCCTGCTTCCTGGCCCTGGGCCAGCTGCCATCCTGTGACGGCCTTTCCTATTCCTGGGAGCAGCTTCGGCAGCCCGCTCCCCACATGAAATAAATAAAGGCATCATACAATATATCAATACTTATGGGACACAATCAAGGCAGTGTTAAGAAAGTTCATCTCAATCAATGTTTATGGCAAGAAATTAGAAAAATTTCAAAGCAAATGAGTTAACCATGCATTTTAAGGAGCTAGAAAAGCAACAGCAAACAAATTCCAAGATTAACAGGGAAAAAGAAGTAACCAAAATGAGGAAGGAAATAAACCAAATAGATGCCAAAAGAACAATACAAAAGGTCAATGAATCAAAGAGCTGGTTCTTGTAGAAAATCAACAAAATAGATTCCCCACTAGCCCAACTAATCATCAAAAGGAGGGTTAAGGTATGAATCAATAGGATCAGAGATTAAAAAAGGAAATACAACAATGGCACCTTGGACAGACAGAATAATTATTATAAGCAACTATATGTCCCCAATGACCTAGAAGAAGCTGATAGATGTCTGGGCACACACAATCTACCAAAATTGAATCATGAGACAATTAATAATCTAAATAAACCTATAACAAGGACTGAGATTGAATCAGGAATTAAATCTCTCCTACCCAAGAAAAGTCCTGGAGGAGATGGCTTCACTGTAGAATTCTACAAAATGATTCAAGAACTTAGCCCAATTCTCCACAATCTATTCCAAATAACAAAAAGGGAGACAATCCTTCCAAAATCTTTCTGTGAAGCCAATATCACTTTAATACCAAAGCCAGATATAGACACAGCAGAAAAAGAGAACTACACACTGGTATCCCTGATGAACAAGGTTGCAAAAATCCTCAACAAAATACTAGCCAGTAGGATCCAACAATACTTCAGGCACACCATTCACCTGAACCAGGTGGGATTTATGCCTGGCATGCAGGGATGGTTTAACATTTGGAAATTACCGAGTGTGATATACCACATCAACAAATTGAAAAATAAAAATTGTATGGTAGTATTAATAGATGCAGAGAAGGCATTTGATAAAATCCAACACCACTCATACTAAAAACCCTAAAGATAGGTAAAGAAGGAATACTCTACAACACAATCAAAACAATATATAAAAAAAATCAATGCCAAATTAATACTAAATGTGGAAGGACTGGAAGATTTTCCACTAAGATCTGGAACTAGATAAAGGATGTCCACTTTCACTACTGCTTTTCAAGATAGTATTGGAAGTCCTCACTAGAGCTATTAGGCAAGAAAAATAAATTAAATTAATTCAAATTGGAAATGGGGAACTTAAATTATACCTGTTTGCAGATGACATGATTCTCTACAGAGGATAACCAAAAGACTCAATCAAGAGACCATTGGAATTCACAAAGACAGTTTGTCAGGGTGGCAGGATACAAACAATTAACATAAATTGATGACACAAATAATTCCCTGACTGAGAAAGAACTTGTAAATACAGTCCCCTTTAATATAGTGAGAAACAAGCTTAAAGATTTATTTTTATTTATTTATTTTTTTATTGGAAAGCCAGATTTAGAATGAGAAGGAGATAGAGAGAAAGATCTTCCATCAACTGGTTCACTCCCCAAGTGGCTGCAATGGCTGGAGGTGAGCCAATCTGACACCAGAAGCCAGGATCTTCTTCTGAATCTCCTATGCAGGTGCAGAGTTCCAAGCTTTGGGTCATCCTTGGCTACTATCCCAGGCCACAAGCAGGGAGCTGGATGGGAAGTGGCCAGGATATGAACTGTTGCCCATGTGGAAACCTGGAAGATGAAGGCAAGGATATATCCACTAGGCTATCATGCTGGGCCCTTGAAGAGGAATATTAAATACCTTGGAATTAACATAGCCAAGGTTTGAAATACCTCTATGATTAAAATAATAAAACATTAAAAAGGAAATAGCAAACATTAAAAGGTGGAGAAACTTGCTATGTTTCTGGATCAGTAGGATGAACATCACCTACCGATTGTCCATATTGTCCATATTACTAAATTATCCATATTACCAAAGGTAATACACAGATTCAACGTGATCCCAATCAAGATGCCACCAGCATTTTTCTCAGAAATGGAAAAGATGATACAAAGTTCATCTGAAAACAAAAGAGACCATGACTAGCCAAAGCTACCCTGAAGTATAAATGTCAAGCTAGAGGAATTAAAATTCCAGAGCTCAAGACACACAGGGCAGTGGTGATCAAAACAGCCTGGTACTGGTACAGAAACAAAGAAGATCAATGGAATAGAACAAAACCCCAGAAGGGAGCCAAAACATGTACAGTCAACTAATTTTTCTTTTAAGACATTTATTTTATTGGAAAGGCAGATGTACAGAGTGAAGGAGAGACACAGAGGAAGATCCTCTGTCCGATGATTCACTCCCCAAGTGGCCGCAAAGGGCTGGTGCTGCGCCGATCCAAAACCCGGAACCAGGAACTTCTTTCCGGGTCTCCCACACAGGTGCAGGGTTCCAAGGCTTTGGGCTGTCCTCGACTGCTTTCCCAGGCCACAAGCAGGGAACTGGATGGGAAGTGGAGCAGGTGGGATTAGAACCGGTGCCCATATGGGATCCTGGCATGTTCAAGCTGAGGACTTTAACCATTATGCTATCGTGCTGGGCTCCTAGTCAACTAATCTTTGACAAGAGAATTGAAAATAATCCAGGGAAAAAGCACGGTCTCTTCAATAAATTCTATTGGAACAATTAGATAGTAGCCTGAAGAGGTAAGAAGCAAGACCCCACCTATCATCTTATTTAAAAATCACCTCAAAATGGATCAAGGATCTAAATCTGTACCCAGAAACCATCAAACTGTTAGAGCAAAACATACGAAGCACTCTCCAAGATATAGGATTTGGTAAAGACTTCTTAGAAAAGCATCAAAAGCACAGGCCACCAAAGTGAGAATAAACAGATGGGAATGCATCAAAGTAAGAAGCTTCTGTATAGCAAAGGAAGTGATCAGCAAAATGAAGAAGCAACCAACAGAATGGGAGAAAAATCTATACACTACACACCATTCGGGGCCTTATATCCAGGACTTACAAAGCGCTTTAGAAACTCAATGACAGCAAAACAAACAACCCTGTGAAGAAATGGGTGAAGGAAATGTACAAACATTTTTCAAAAGAACAATTTCAAACAGCTAATAGGTGTATGAAAAAATGCTCAGGTTCCTAGCTATTGGGGAAACAAACACACACACACACACACACACACAAAACTACATTGACATTCCACCTAACTCCAGTAAGATTGGCTTATATTTGGAACTCCACTAACAACATCTGCTGGTGTGAACGTAGGGAGAAAGGATTCCTGCTTCACTGTTGGTAGGAGTGTAAGCTAGTACAACTACTATGGAAATCAGTATGGAAAGAGTTAAGAGAACTGAAAAGTAACTTGCCATATGACTCGGCTATCCCACTTCTGGGAATATATCCAAAGGAAATAAAACTAGCATCCCAACTCTCAAGCTAACCAGTATGTCTTGTAGTTCCATAGGGTTGGGCCCACCTGTCCCCCACAGAATCCACCCCCCACCTGGTTTTCTTGCTTGCTAGTTGGTGTCATGGCCCAGCCTGATGTGACCCATTTTCTGATCCAACACTCACTGTCAGGTACTGGGATCTAGCCCTGTCAGACAGGCCCCCAGCCATAGTATATGTGTGAGCTGGTACGTGGTGGTCAGCCATGTTCCGTGTTAACAAGTCCAACCCAGGACTCCCATGTGGACTGGTGTATCAGTTTGACCCATAGAAATCTTTAGGTCTCTCCCCTCTAAACCACCAGTTCTCAGTCCCCCCACTTACCTGCAAGTGCAGTGGCTTTGTTGTTGAGTGTCCCTCAGGATTTATTCCTCATCTACATATACAGTGGCCTTATCCATGGATACCCCTAGGCAGTAACTGATACCTCCAAGACTCCAGAGCTTGTTGCCGGGTGGTCAGCCGGTAAAGCCCGGCACCAGCTGGCACACTGGCTGCCCACAAGCCCAGGGTCCTCCTCTTTTTCAGCATCAGCAGATGGGGAACTAGGATCCCCAGTAGGCAGCCTGGCATGGCACGGGTTCTCCCAGCTGGGACAGTAAGGTACCTGCTCCACTGCTCAGACTTATCTGGGTTCCACCTAAACACATTTTTCTAAAATTAAAGAAGACACCACAGCAGTAATCAAAGGGGAAAAATTAGTACAAAGAATGAAGTAGGAAGAGGGTGATGACCAGAGGTACCTGAGCATTCTGAAGCATTTGGTAAGTGGGTGAAGAGACGTTTACTAGTGACATGGCCAAAGCTTGTCTGTAGTTGACCAGTGAGTGATTGGTGAGCAGGGAGATGCCTATTTGCTTACTTGGGTGCTGGCAACATTCTCTGAGGGTAGACACTATGAGGGCTTTCAAAAATTTTTACTTCATTTTATTTATACAAATGGAATAAATTTCATAGAGATGATTTTTTCTTAATGTTTATTTCTTAATTTTTTTTCTAAAATATTTACTGATTTGAACGTCAGAGCTATATGGGTAGGGGGTCCAGACAGAGAGAAGTCTTCCATCCAATGGTTCATGCTCCAGATGCTTTGGCCAGGGCTGGGACTGGGTCAGGTTGATGCTAGGAGTCAGGAGCTTTTGCTAGATTTCCCATAGACGTGTTTAGGCCATCCTCCACTGATTTCCCCAGGCACTTCACAGTGAGCAGTGCCTGGGGAAATCAGGCACTGGATTGGAAGTGGAGCATTGGAAGTGGAGCAGCTGGGACTTGGCGCCAATGTGGGATGCTGGTATTGCAGATGGCAGCTTTACTCTCTATGCTGCAATCCCAGCTCCACACTATAGTTTTAGGGACAAAATGGTATGGGCCTGGCTTGGTAGCCTAGTGGCTAAAGTCTTTGCCTTACATTCACCAGGATCCCATAAGGGCATAGGTTCATATGCCAGCTGCTTTACTTCCCATCCAGCTCCTTGCTTGTGGCTTGGGAAAGCAGTTGAGGATGGCCGAAAGCCTTGAGACCCTGTATCCAAATGGGAGACCTAGAAGAGGCTCTTGGCTCCTAGCATCAGATCCGTTCAGTTTAGGGCATTGCAGCCATTTGAGGAGTGAATCAGCAGATGGAATAGCTTTCTCTCTATCTCTCCTTTCTGTAAATCTGACTTTTTGATAAAAATATACGAAGCTTTTTTTATTAGATACGTAATGGTATTTCTCATCATACCCTCCCAATAACTTTTACCATCCTTCCTCCTTCTTTTTCATATTTTTATTTTAATTTTACAGTGACACATTTACAGTTTTCTTCATAATCACAATCATAACCCTCCACTAAAGAAAAAATTGAACAAGAAGTAAGTAGAGAAACACTGCTTCTCACAAACTCAGACAAAGCTATAAACAATGTTCAAATTTCAAAATGTCAATTTTGCTCATAAACAATACTTTTTTTGTACTTTGTATATTATTTAGCAGAAGTCAGGGAAAACATACAATGTTTGTCTTTTTGGGATTGACTTACTGCACTAAGCATAATGGTCTCTGGTTGCATCTGTTTTGTGTGAAAGACAGGATTTCAATGTTTTTAGTAGCCTAGTATTCCATATCTGTATGTATTTATAGGTATCTATCACAATTTCTTTATCTAGTCATCTGTTGATGGACATCTGGGTTGATTTAATATCTCAGCTATTTTGAGTTGAGCTACAATAAACATAGGAATACAGATAACTCATAGACTTATTTCACTGCTTTGGCTACATTTCCAAGAATGGAACAGCCGACATCGTGGGGTTTTCTACAGAACCCTGAAAACAGGCCATAGGGCAGGAACAAAACGCTAGAACCA